TATTTTTAATTCTTTTCCTTTAATACAATTTTTTTTGAGTTGGGGGCCTTGCTCTGTCGCCCAGCCTGGAGTGCAAGGGTGAGATCACGGCTCACTGCAGCCTCAAACTCCTAGGCTCAAGTGAGCTTCCTGCCTTGGCCTCCCAGAGTGCTAGGATTATAGGCCACTGCACCCAGATGGGGTTATTTATTTATTTGAGACAGAATCTTGCTCTCTCTCCCAGGCTGAAGTGCAGTAGCCCCATCTTGGCTCACTACAAGCTCCACCTCCTGGATTCAGCATTCTCCTGCCTCAGCCGCCTGAGCAGCTGGGATTATAGGCATTCACCACCACACCCGGGTAATTTTGTATTTTTAGTAGAGACGGGGTTTCGTCATATTGACCAGGCTGGTCTTGAACTCCTGACCTCAGGTAATCCACCTGCCTCAGCCTCCCAAAGTCCTGGGATTACAGGCGTGAGCCACCGCGCCCAGCCTGGGGTTGTGATTTTTAAAAGTGGATCTCAAGGCTGGGTGCAGTGGCTCATGTCTGTCAGTAATCCCAGCACTTTGGGAGGCTGAGATGGGCAGGTCATTTCAGGACAGGAGTTTGAGACCAGCCTGGCCAACATGGTGAAACCCGGTCTCTACTAAAAATACAAAAATTAGCCGGGTGTGGTGGTGCACGCCTGTAATCTCAGCTACTCAGGAAGCTGAGGCAGGAGAATCACTTGAACCCGGGAGGTGGAGATTGCACGGAGCTGAGATCGCATCACTGCACTCCAGCCTGGGTGACAGAGCAAGACTCTGTCTTTAAAAAAAAAAAGGTCTCAAAAAAGCCTCACTTAAGAAACAAAGACTTGAAGGAAGAAAGAGGGGAACCACGAGAAGATCTGGGGGGAATCGTGCTCCAGGAAGCGGGAATGGCCCATGTAAAGGTGCAGAGCTGGCACGGGGCTAGGGGCACATAAGGCACAGTGAGGAAGTGAGGACTCAGAGACCCAGTAAAGGAAAACATTGATAGGTGCTGCAGCAGGTCCTCCTCCTTCCATTAATAAGGCAGCCATCTCCTGCCTTGTTTATTTGGCCCTTGCTCAGGCACCTGCCCAATACCCATGGGACATAAAGACATCCAAAATCCCACCCCTGCTCGTGCTGAGACAGGTTACAGGGTCAGGCAAAGAAGGGGGGGAAAGCTGGGCTGTATACATGAAAATGGACTTCTCTATTGCAGGACTTATCAGGGCCTTTAATGGACTGCTATGAATACCTAGGGTGGTGGGGAGAGCAGTGTATGCAGTGGGTTCTGCTTAGGAAACACAGCTCTAATACAATGTCCCTGAGAGAGGAGGGAAATGCCCTGCTGGCTAAAAGAAGGGAGGGAGAGATCACAGGAGGCTGCCTGGAGGAGGTGGCATTAGAGCTAGATACTGGAGGATGCAGACAAGGTGGGCGAAGGGAATAGTGTGGACAAGGACAGGCGCCGTGTCCAGCTGGGAGGCCTGAAAGGTGGGATACACAGTCAGTGGTGTGGCTACAAGGGTCCCCAAGGAGAGGGTAGGTGTGGGGACTGGGATGGAAGCCACAGAAGCCCGCTGATTGCTCCTAAAAACCCAGAGCTTGTTCCGTCCGCTCCCTCCACTCCACTCCCTGAGTTTTCCTCTGAGCCGTGCCCTCTGCCCGGTGTACCCTCCCCTCACATCTTCACAGCAGTCTCTTTTTCTTAATTCAGCTCCACTTTGGCTGGAAAAAAAAGCCAGCCCCTTGGGGATGATGGAAGGGACAATGGAGGGGCTAGAAGGGGAAACTGAGTCAGGACCACCAACAGAAAGGTGGCTTCCTGGTGCGTGTGGGGGAAGACAGGTGTACCACCGTGAAATAACCACCAAGCCGGGGCGATCAGAGCCCGGATGGTGGAAGCACAGGGGACTAGGGGGCCCAGAAGGACCAAGATTGTGGGATGAGGCAATCAGGGAAGGCTTTCTAAGGGAGGTGTACCTTGAGCTGAGACCTAAAGGCAGAGGAG